TAGTTGCACAATAAGTGATTTGGCAATAAAATGGTGTGTGGTAACAGTTTCAAGTATTCTGCTGCCGAATTGAGAAATAACATTTCTGTTTGATAGACTACAGTCAACTGGGACAATGACAGACTCGTGTGCATTCAAAAAGGAGAAAAGAAGAACAGAGGATGGACACACTGGATGGAGGGAGATACTCTTTACCTGGTAAGTCAAATATTATAAGACTGAATATTCAAGTCAATTTTAGATTAAAGTGCACATATATTTTTTTTCTTTTGCTTTAAAGGAACTTACATGCGAAGACCAGATCTGCAAACAAACCTACAAAAGATCTGCCTGAACCATTGTGGCGAAATAAACCTGCTTTCATGTTTAAGAGTGTACGATCTGCATTAAACAGTTCTTAATTCATTGAATGGATTAAACTTACAAAATAAAAAAATCTACATGAAGAGGAAAGCAGGAGTGTCTTTAAACATTTATTGACTAATAAAACATCTGTAACTTTTCATATTTGAATTCAAAAGTAATAAAAAATACCATCTAATCAATGTATTAAAAGTGCTGCTGCAATAAATTGATTTTTCAAGATCAAAAACCTGAGTGTGTGCTTGCTGTCTTGTAACGCATGTCCTAATTTTTAAAGTTCAGAATAAAATGAATAGGTTAATAGAAAAAAACTAATAAAAAGAAAGACTGCATCGGCACAAATTAAGCTATATTTTGCTAATTCATGAATAAATAATTGCAATAGTGTCATCCTGCCTTAAATAAAGTCCATAAAGCCATGCCTTGAACAAAATTAAAACATTTAGCTTTAAATCTAAACTGTAATTAAAATTTTGTTAGATATGTTGCTACTTTCTGCAAGTAGCATGGTTATTTTGGGGGTTATTATTGCCAGTTAATACATCTTAATACATAATACAACTTTGAATTTCTATCAGAAAATGTGTCAAATACTAAACATTTAGGCCTAGTCATATAAATCCAATACCACACAACACTTGACCATATAAATCAAACTTTCACAGAGGAAACAGCTAATATATAAGCAGAAGCAGAGGAAACCCAAATATATATATAAGATAAAGCAACAAATTCAGAATTCAAATATTAAAAAACTATCCTTCAAACACTCATTTTACACTGCATTTGTTTTGGCTTGTTTCTAGTCCAAATATCTAAAAATTCTTATATCAAGATTTTCTAGATAAGCAAAACAAAAAGTCTTCACTTAAGTGAATTTTCCTTAAAACAGGCAAAATAATCTCGTTTTTCCTTTTGAAGTGAGATTTTGTTTCTTAACCCATTTTATTTTGCTTGTCTTAAGGAAAAACTCACTTCATTCATTTTCTTTTCGGCTTAGCCCCTTTATTAATCCGGGGTCGCCACAGTGGAATAAACCACCAACTTTTTCAGCATATGTTTTACGCAGCGGATGCCCTTCCGGCTGCAACCCATCACTGGGAAACACCCATTCACTCTCATTCACTCACACACACAATTTAGCTTACCCATTTGACTTGTACCACATTTTTTGGCTTGTGGGGGTAATTGAAGCACCCGGTGGAAACCCACGTGAACAAAAAACGAACATGCAAACTCCACACAGAAATCACAACTGACCCAGACAAGGCTCGAACCAGCGACCTGTTGCTGTGAGGCAATTGTGCTACCTACCCACTGTGCTGCCGAAAAACTCACTTCATTTTAACACATCATTTCTTAAAACAAGACTATATATTTTGTTGTCTAAAATGCTTCTTGAAATAATAATTCTTAGAAATTTGGACAAAAAACAAGAGAAAAAAAACCTAAGAAAAGCATTTTTTGCAGTGTAAAACTACTGTTTTTGAATGGCACCTCCACATCACTAGATGGCGCTGACGAGGACATAATAAATACTGAAGACTGTGGTGTAACGTGAAGAACCCAGGATTCGCGGAATTTTCAAGCCAGAAAGTTGAGCTGCAGTTTATTTATCTTCTGAAAATGGACGAGGACGAGGCACAAAATCAGGTAACCACATTAAAATCTCCCGACTAGCTAACACACAACGTCAGTTATACACCAGTACATGATTTGCGGTCATATTCATGTACACATTACAGGAAATGTCCAGGGTATTACTATCGTTTTAACAGCATTTATGTATTTTTAGAGACTTAAAGCTGCTGTGCATTACACTGTCGGCTCTCTCTGCCAACACATCGCTGAGGACTGCGAGAAACAAATCACTAAACAGACAATAGCGGCTATAGCGGAGACTGCGTTCAGACAGTGCGGTAAAATTACTCAGATTTTGTCCCTCAGCTTTGTGATATTTCGACCTCAATGTTTTTTGTTATATATATTAACACTCGTCTTATTTCTTACATTTAGACATTTTTGCCAAGGACTTGGAAGCATTTGCTAGGTAAACCCCAAGTCAATATGGGAAACAGCTGAAAGTTATTAAACTGGTGTATTTTTCCTGAGATATTAGTCTGTTTTATTTGTACTCAAGCATGTGTTGAATGTTTGCAGACATGCTAAAAGAAACACAGTTACAGTGGATGACGTGAAACTTACAGCAAGGAGAACCACTGCACTGGTAAGATGACTTATTTTTTCAATCCATGTTCAAAACCCCACCCAACAAAAATGACATTATATGAAAATAATTGCATTTAAAGGCCTTGGATAAGCGAATTATTTTATTTGACAAATGATGTTTAATTACTATATTAACCCTTTATAGGGCACTCGGTGAAATGCTTATTGTAAAAGTCCTGGAGTGTTACTACAAAACCTTGAACATATATATTTCATATATATTTTATTTGAAGTCAATAGCAATGAATTGCTCAAATAGGGTTGCATGCCTGATAAAGGATTGGTCTCTGTTAAATGTTTAAAAACAATACAGAATGTTTAAGTACATAAAGTGGTGTAACTGGACTATTTATCTAAAAGCAAATTCAAATATATATTTACATAGAAGCAGGGTGCGAATTACAGGGGGAGAAGGGCTCCTAATTCATGCTTGATCCCCTGAAGGAAGTCAAAGCAAGACGTTAAAGGGCTCAGCTCTTTAATACTGAGAAATAGTTCACTGTATTTTAAATAATAATGTTAATAATTAAAATAATAATATATACATTTGACCTCCCCTCTAACGGTTCATACCGTTGCAAATGCATAACCACACCACTCAGTCTGTGCCAGTAAAAAAATCATTCAGCTATCTGAAACTGGCACATATTAAGTGTAAACAAGACTGTTTTCTCATAAAATATGTACAAATAGCCTGAAAATCAAATTAGATGTATAGTTTGACATCTGAAATAGCTAATCAGAGGATACTGTACGTCAAAATACACAAAGTATCTAAAAAAACCCCACTGAAAACTTGTTTTATTAACTAATTAGATGTAATTTAAATAAATACATAAATGACTAAAGCATGCATTACTGCAAAATATAATTCACACACTGCATAGGTGTGATTTCCAAGTATATCTTTAAATAACTGGGTTCCCATGTTCAATATTTACTGCTAAACTTGAAAGAATTATAAAAGTTTCAATTAATTTGCATATTATGGTTCTAGTAAACAAGTGGAAAAAAATAGCATCTTTGTTACTTTACAGTACAACTATATTCAACAAAAAAGTGAGGAACTGGCTCTAAACAACCAGGAATTGAAGGAGAAGAGGAAGAAAAATGCTGCTAAGAGGAAGAGTAAAGACATGGAAGCAGAGGAGAATGATGTTGAAGACTGATCAAGATACATGTCCAAAATTATTTTTCCTTTAGTTGTATAAAGTATTTTGCCTTGAATAAAAAACAACTGTGTAGATATGTAAACCAACAATCACATTAAACACTTTACACCAATAATCTTGTCTTACTCAAGCATGAGTTCATTTGTGCTTTATTGCAATTATAATAAATCCTGTAAACATGACTTGATTGAATGTCTATGAAACAATACAGATTCTCTCAAATGTTTATATTTTACACATTTAAAAAGCAGGGTTTCTGTGGGTACCAGGTATAAATATGCCCAATTCAACAATTAAAGCTTTAAAAGAGTCTTAAATCAGCAGAAAGTTTCAATTTAATGAAGTCAGCACTAAATTACAGATGCACTGAAAGCAATTCATCTAAACATTCTCAAATCAAGATGCATTTACGTGAGATACAAAATGAGAGGGGAATTGTTAGCAGGGTATCTGTGGGGGAAATGTATTTCCATTTGAATTGACTTAAGCCAACTGGTAGATGTTGGTTTAAATCACAATGGCTTCACTTTGATAATTTCATTCTTGCTTCTTTCTGATTTTGTAGTTAGTGTAAGATTCTTCACAAGCAAATCATTCTTGATGTAAGATTCTTTAGACATTGGCAATGTAACAAAGTAGGAAAAACTGGGTGATTTTTTTGTTTGCAATGTGATTAACATTTAAAATTATAATAAAAAATTCAGTATTTCAATTTTGAGAGTGGGTATATTCAAAATGTAATCATTACGTGTAAAATAATCATTTTAAATAGTTTAAAATTGGTAGAAAGCGGTCTTAAAACTTTTTAATTTTTAAATGTTACTTGTATAAAACAGCTTAAAATGGCTTTCAAATCCTCCAGAAACCCAGTAAACCATGGTAAAAACTTTAACCTTTGCCTGTATTTGAATATGAGCCATTTTCTCAAAACCAATTCAAGCCTGAAACCATTTCAACATTTCAGATTGAAATGCATCAGGCTTAAACCGATCAGAGAAAACTGCATATAGTGAATCACCCATCAGATTCGGCTACGGTCTACCGTGTCGGTGGCTGTTACCAGAGGTGCAGAACCACAGCATCCTCCATCTTCCTCCATCCCCAAACGGACTTCCCGCCTGGGGTTCAGTTGCAGCCAGCCATTTTCCAGGCCCCTAAACGTGTGAATTCAATTAGTTGCGTTGCAATTGCTCTCAAACATCAAGTGACAGACAAACAAGTATGAGCAAAGAGCAATCTATTCAAATTAGTTTTATTGAAGCACTCCCTTCATTTGACAAGTCATATAAAATGCCTCTGAAAACACTGAGCGACGTAATCTAGAGGGAAACTCCACAGACATCCACAGCACTCAACATACAGTTCGCACTTACACCATCACTCATGTTTTCCCCCTCAGTGTCCACTGAAGATGTCATCCACATCAAAGTTCACACTTACAGGTCAAGTTACAAGGAAATAAAGCACACACACCATACAGCATTCAGATGGGATTATAGAAGCAAGACAAAGTATGCATCATCATCATCACAACATTCCACTAACTATATAAGCACATTGTCAGTATACTAAAGGAGAAAAAGCAAAATGGGGATCTAGGGTGACCAAAAAACAAATTAAATATATCTCTTTAAGTACACATGAACTAAATGTCCATCAATTTGGGCTCAATTAAGGGGGAAGCTGGGAAGAATCAGCAGCTCTCATTCACACGCTCACCACTGCAGTCACATTTGGGCTCGTTCATTGCACTCGCAAGTCTTTTCGTTCGTGCGCTCCACACTTTCTTCGCTCACTCGCAGCCTTCTCACTCTTCGCCATCACCAATCGCACTCAAGGGTTGTTTTTTTTTAAAAAAAGGTCACTTTCTTGCGCACTTCTTGTTTTAAAAAGTGGATTAAAAAAGAAGACACCCACCGTGTCATCGAGCCGTGCGATGAGAGCATTTAGACATGGGGAGGAAGGTGACATAATGACCTCAGCCACACTGTGCTGCCATAGAGGGCGCTCTTCCCAGGCAAACCCCACAGATGTCAACTGCAGAAGAGATGTTGATGAAGGCTTGTTTTAAAGGATTTCCAAACAACTGGACTGAAATAAAGCTGAACTTACAATAATATACATGTTCAGGTTTCAACCAGATTCTTTCCAATGCAGGTTTCTTTTCTTGATTTGTACTATTAAATGATGCAACTCATGCATTTTCACAGATTGAACATGCATTATAAGAATCCAGTTGAAATGCTTTTGTTTGCATCAGTCAAGACAATACAACATTGGGGAGAAAAAAACTAAACATCAAAGATGGTACATTAACATAGCACCCTTGTTAACATCTCACTTCAAACACTAACTCAAATCCCATTCAGTGTACAAAACATTCTTTTTTTCTTTGTTTCGTCCCCAGACTCCCTCTTTTCACCCATCCCCACTCCCAAACACACGTGATGAGATAAGTCTCTCGAAATAAAATACTTACCAAAACACGCTAGGAATACCGACACTTCAAACACAAAGCACTTACATACCCCACCCCGATGACTTGGACTCCATACTAGAGCCAAAACTGGAGTTAAAGCCAGCACTGGCAGCGCCCGAGTTAGAGCCGGTGCCCCAGCCGAGAGCAGCTGAGCTGCTGCCGTAATTGCTGTTAGCCGAGCTATATGTTTGGGCTTGGTCTCGAGAGGAACTGGTGCCACTTGTGCTTGTGCCTGAAGTACCCGACTGATTCTGCTGAGCTAGCATTCCCATCATACCCCAACTACTCTGCAAGGCAGCCTGGGCGGCAGCCATCATGGCCGGGTTTAGATTGAAATTGCCAAAATTTCCCAAGCTGCTGGAGCTACCCCCACCACCACCACCCATGTTGCTTCGGCTGCCTGCAAAACCCTGACCTCCGAACCCATTCCCAAAGCGCCCTGCCCGCTCCATCATCTGCCTAGTGTTATTGTGTTTGGGCTCAGCGTTTGAGATATGCACACTGACGCCCTTGATGATCAGATCTTCTCCACACAAAGCGGCGGCAACCTGGAAAGAAGTTGGAAATTTCTTCAATATGGTCTGGAATGTTGTCATGAACAGGTCATTTTTGAAAAGTACATTCATTAGGAATGCCTCAGCTCTTTATCTGTGATTTTATCATGTAAAACATGACTTGCCTGGTCATCTGCAAAGGTGACAAAAGCAAACGCTCTGAACGGTTTGGGAATAAAGACGTCTGTGACCTCTCCGTACTGCATGAAGAACTGACGGAGCTCATCGGCAGTCATGTCCTCTGTGCAGCGGCCCACAAACACTTTACGGCTCCTCATTGGTTCATCTATACCTTGCTGTTAAAGTTTTAAAAACAAAATGGTTTAGCGTAACTGAAGAATTTCACAGTGGTTTGTATTTTTAATCTGCATTAAAACATATGCATGTGCTGTTGCATCTTTAGTAGCAATAAGCTGTAAAGACAGGTGACATTCAGGAACTGTATATGTTTGCGAGTAGACTTTATGCCACACCAAAACCTTTTCTTTAGCTTTGATTTGTATTATTCTTATTAACACTTAATAAATAATAATAATAATAATAAAAGAGATGTTTTAAGCCCTACAATATTACAATCATGAAAATGCACCTTTGCCATCACTAGTATGTTACATTTTAATTTATAAAAGCATTATGTTGGAAAATTGTAAATAGTAAAGTGCAATTGTAAAATGCAATTTCTATCAAATAACCGGTGAACAATCTTTTTTTTAACCTTAAACTTTTAAATGCCACTGTAAAAACAAACAATTAACAAGCAATCAAAAACAAAAAAAAAAAAACAAACAACAAGCATTTAAAAAAAAAGACGCACTGACCTTTGAGTTGGGCAGTTTGCAGTCGCACCACCGGCCATCAATCATGTGCCGCTGTGTCATCACCTTACTCTGAGTCTCCCAGTCTCCAAACCTCACAAAGCCAAACCCTTTTGAATTTCCTGTCTTCACATCCCGCTTGACCTAGTGTAACAAAATCAAGTCAAGGACTGCTTTAATCTGCCTTCAAGACTGACAGTCAAAGCCAGTTCTATTTTTATAGCCACATACAAACATCAGATACAAAGACAGAAATCATGAACAGCTTTCATCACAATATGACAGTACAAAGACAAACACCACGGGTGTATGGGTTATATTTATATCAGTATATTTTACCTGCACCATGATGACTTCCCCAAATGTACCGAAGTAGTCTTTTAAGTCTTGCTCTGAAGTCTTCCATGGCAGACCCAGCACAATCAGATCTGAAGTCTTCTGATCTCCTCTCTTGATCTTGGTCGCAGATGAAGCATCGATCTCATCCATCTTCCTCTTATTATCTGGCAGAACAGTTTCTAGAAAAGAAAAACTCAATTGCTATATATACACACACACATTCACACATCCTGGGAAAAAAAAACTTATTTAATCAAGATGCACAAGATTTTTGTGGACAGCTAAAAGAATTCAGAAGGACAAACTTTTTAACTATGGTGACCTTATTAGTTAAGTATAGTGGGGATCGAGCTTTTGCGGTTATCATCCCAAGCATTTGAAACTCCATCTTTGTTCCCTAGTATTTGAGCCTTTTTAATGTTGAGGGGTTTGCCTTGTGTTTTAATTGTTATGTAGATTTTGTTTTTAGTATTGATTGTGTTTAGCACTTTGGGCAACGTTGTGTTGTAAAAAATGTGCTTTATAAATAAACTAACTAAACATTGTTCAATCAAAAATAAATTTACTTGGGATGCTCCGATCTATCGGTCGAAGATTGGTATTGGACGATAATCACATTTTACGACTCGATCGCCAATTTGGCTGATCTCAAGTGTTTGTTTACGGGTTTACGCGGAGAGGAAGACGCACATGCACAACTGGCATTGCTTTAACAAGCAAGGAGAAAAATGATGCGCGCGGTGTGAACGATTACTGAGCTCTCAACACAGCAACTAAATATATACGGATGTAACAGATATATACACCTCTGTTTATACAGTTTATTGGCGCAACTTGTGCGAGTCATGGGCTCTTTATTGCAACCATTGTATATGCAGTGTTTTGAGCTGTTGTGACGTGAGTGGAGAGATTGCCCCTATCTAGTGTCTCATCCAACTGTGTCAATGTTGCAATTTCACTAAAACCTGGCTGGAAATATAAAAATATATATTTTTTTACTGGAATGCCTAATAATATACTCTTTTGTAATATACTTATTGCTATAAACAGTAGTTTATAGGCCCATTTTCTTTTAGTAAAGAAGCAATATATTTATAGGTGTGCATTTTAACTTATGCATATAATGCGCTCCAAACCTTTTTTTCAGCAAGACATGTTAAATTGTTCCATCATTCACAACGTTTCTAAACTGCACTGTCAATTAGGGCTGGGCAATAAAATCGGAATCGATGTTTACTGAGCGAACACCATTGTCAACATCGATAAAAAAAAGTTTCAGTATGAAGCGTTACAGTTTTTATTAAAATGTGGCTGCTGAGCATGCTCCTTGGAAACAATGCCGATAAGCTTAGGGTGCAAAGCCCATTGTTAATGCTAAAGCAAACCACGCGCTCGCCCCTGCCACGTCAGGTTAGAATGTGAGTGCCACATGTGAGTGCCGTGGCTAGAAGCAGTGGGAAGTTTGTAAATAAAAAAGGACGCAAGGATGTTGCCAGAATGGCTTTTTGGTTTCTTCTTTGTGCATCCAGCGACTAGCTCCCCATCTGAAAGATATTTTTTAGCATGAGGGTAATATATTCATTCAACTTCACAATTTTCAAAGTTCAATATGTGTTTAAATAATGATGGCTAGTTCCTTTATTTAAAAGCTCAGATTTGATCATCACAATTTGTTTTGTTGACAGTGTTAGAGGTTTACTGTATTAGGGTTCAACGCTAAGGATTTTTTCTACTGGCCCCCAATCTGGCCAGTGGTTCTGACTTTTACTTGCCCTGCCAAAATTTTCACTGGCCCCACCAAAAAAAGAAGTTAATAACTATTTCTTAGCCAAATATTTTAAATAATATATCAAAAGCCAAACATAACTTCAGCATAACTTTTCTTTAAATACAACTGACAGTTTAAAAAAATCCAACTGTGATGTTAATACATTTGGAAATATATATATTATAGGCTTAAATTAGAGAGAAATAACAGATGAACTGATATATTGATATTTAATACTCAATATAGATCTTTCTTTCCAGGTGTCAGTGCAGAAATGAACAAAACAATAGGCCTAATGCAAAATAGTAACAGATTAAAATATGGACAAATGATCAGATGGTAATTTCTGTCAGTGTTCCTAACAGATAACAGATCTCAGTAATATTTCAGCATGCTTTCACTTTCATATTCGACATGAAACGCACATTTGACGGTAGGAATGACATCCGGCCCTACTCGTAATTCTCTTTTCATATAGCCATGACTATTACACAACCATAATACGCAAAGCCTGGTTCGTTAGTTCGTTGGATCATTTTGCCTTCTCATTACAAACGATCTTAGACCGCTTGTTTTGGCGCGGAGATGAGCGCGATTGCCGGATTCACATATGTCAAACGAGCCATACTAACTGGGCAAGCAAGACAAGTTCCGAAACAAACGTTTAGGTGTGAAAGCACCCTGTTTGCACGCAATTGACAGTTGCAACCAAATTAAACTTTAGTGACAAAGCAGCACATGCCCGATCGGGCCACTAACAATCCTGTCTACTGTCCCGAGCATCCCGCACACTGGCCCCGGGCCATCGGGCAGTCTTTATTGTTGAGCCATGCTGTATCATCATTATTTACACCATACAAATGTTGATCTACCTTAGGCCCCGTTTACACTAGTGCGTTTTAGTTTGAAAACGCATAAGTTTTGCTACGGTTACGCCATCCGTCCACACTACGCCGGAGTTCTCGAGCGACGAAAACGGAGCTTTTTGAAAACGCTGGAGAGGCCGTTTTCATTCTAAAACGCTGCTGCTCCGTCTCAGTGTGGATGGGGAAAGACGGAGACATCTGAAAACGGAGGCGGGGCTGCAAACGTTCGCCTATCTGATTGGGGCTTTTCCTCAATATTAAGTAGCCCACACACAGTTCAGTCTCGCATCCTCTTCTTGTAAGTTCAGATTTCGCAAGTTTGATCAAGGCTGCAGTCTCCCCCTTTTCAGTTTGATATGGAAAACATACCGAGGACACGGGTAAATCTTCAAAGGGAACAGTGTACTTTATAACTTCATTCACATCACCTTGGCTACGTTGTTTCACTTTCTCAACAATAAAATGTAAACATGATTTAAGGAACTGCCTATTTTCTTTTTAATATTAGCAACTTAACAGACAGCAGAAATGTTGAGGCGTCGTGCTGCATATATGAGCGTCATCTTCACTGTGTGGATATTTATAACAAAACGGAGCCTATAACAACTGCCTCCTTTCAATTTCAGTGAAAATACGAAACGCACCCTCTCTTTTGCTGAATATCAGTTTTAATAATCGATAATTATAAAAGTATAACATACAATAAGTTTATACATTGTAGGAAATAAAGGCAAGCGATCAGTCAATGTACCTGGATTAATCATTAACTTATCTTTGCGCTTAACCAAAACATGTTACCCGTGAACAAGTAACTTAATAGATTCCAATGACCAAAGTCAGGGAATTGGCCTATGTCGTTAGATAAAGACAACAACATGAATGAAATATCACGTTTAGCAAATATAGTGAGATTAGATCCAGCGGGAGATGCTTAATGAGCAGTCCGACAAGCAGAGCTCTCATCTGGGTAGAAATGCTGGAGCGCTTGCCTGAGAGTGTCTGTGTGGTCACGTGATGTGCGTTTTCAGCGTTTTGGTGTGGACGGAGAGCAGTTCAGAAACGCTGGGTAAAACGCGAGTGTGGACGCGGATCGTTTTCATTCTACAACGCCGTTTTAAAACTAAAACGCACTAGTGTAAACGGGGCCTTAGTTGCACACACATTGTAAACATTTTATTCATCAGGTTAAAGAGTCTCTTTAACACTTATGTTTATTTTATATAAAGAGACGAGATTTTGTATAATATTTTTGTTTTTTGCTATTAAAACTATTTGCCTTAGTAATGTTGGAACACTCAAATAAAGTGGTTAAATAAATAAAAAAATCCTAATATTCCTAAAAGGATTATTCAAAATATTCCATAATTATTGACATCGAATGATATGAAACATGATATCATGATAAATGTTTTTGCAATATCACACAGCCCTTTTGTCAATAATTTTTCTTACTATTTTTTATCCTGTTTTATCCATTTAGTTCTGTAAAGCTGCTTCTTACAATGACATGTCGACACTAAATGGTTATGAGACATGTTTAAGGGATTATATGCAACATTATTTATTCTCTTAGGTAAAGCAAGATCTCCACTTTAGTATCATACTTAGAGGGAGAATGTGCTTTATGCATAATAAAGCTTAAAGCATCAGAATTGGAGCTTGGTATCAGACCAATCTAGAAATTTGTATTCTGTATCGGCTGCAAAAATCCTGAACAAAGCATCCCCAACAATTACATAATTAACTATTTTTAATCCATCTATTTGTTGATTTTCTACTAGGCCTGGGCGATTAATCGAAATCGACATTAAGAACCTATAATCGACCTACTTTTTTCCTAGGCAATTTTTTTATTTAATTTCCCTACAGTGTGTGGAGTCACGCGATCCCTGCTGTTAAAGGCTGTGGCTGATTCATACTTCTGTAGCCACTTTGAAGCCACATCTGATCTCTGGTTAAATAAGACATAGACACCGTTCTTCAGCCTTACTTTGCACCATACTGAGGATGATGGGAAGCTGCGACAGATATGCTTTGAGACAGCATATTTTCCATTACATTAAAGCAAATATTTACATTAAAATATTCATTTACAGAAGATGCAAGGAATGCATTGTTGATAATATTAATTACAGAATATACAAGAATTACTTTTAGTAGAACTACTGCTACCCTTCCTACACCTAGGGTGTGTTTAAATTTCAGCTGTTCAACATTGATAAATAATCAAATAGTAAACAATAATTATTGTCAAAAGATAATCATAGATAGTAGATGGTGTTTCTTTTAATTATTTAAAAAATAAAGTAATGCACCCTTCATTCAAAAATCTCTTACTTGTAATATGTGAGCATATTTACTGTACAAAACCTGTCAGTGAACTGTGAGGGCAAAAAAAAAAAAAAAAAAATTTAATTGTAATTTTTAATTAATTGAGATCTTGATTTTAGGCCAAATCGCCCAGCCCTATTTCCTACCACTGCTCTCTTGCTTGTCTGACTTGCTGTAATGTTCAAATTTAAATTAATCAGAGGTTTTATTCTATTTTTTTGCCACCTATGCCAAGCTGTTTTAACACAACCTACATTTTAAAAAGCACAACAGAAATAAAGATGAACTGAAAACTGTGACCATGCATTAGAGGAGAAAAAGGTAGATTATAAATGATATTTTATTTTTTAAAGTGTGCAATTGTGCATGTTTTCAGGATGCTTTCTAAAAACATTTTTTAAATTGGGCTTAGTATATTAATTGTACCACATACCTTTTGGGTAATTAACCACATAGACTAGGTTTCCCCAGCCGTTCTCAGGTGCATGCAGAATGCCGTCCACCAGACGAACCCCCCTCATGCACTGAGACACTGGGCTCCGGAAGCGCAGACCACAAGCCCCTGGAAACTGAGCGGACACTGTGGAAAGCAAAACCGTGCCATCATCCTCTGACGGGATCTCCATCGGCTCCTCATTCTCCTCCTCCGCAACTCGAATGTACATCTCGGCCATCTTTCCTCAGTCGAGCTGACGGTGAATGAATAGTAAAATTATTGTTTCCATTAGCCAAAAAAGACAAAAACAAAAAAGACAGTAATATCTCATAAAAAATGACCATAACAAAATATGCAAAAAAAACTAAAAGCAAAATGTTTAAATTCACAGCACTCATTTAAAAAAAAAACTTAGATTGGTCGTGAGATCCGAATTAGTAAACAGAAAATAAATGCTTTTGAGAAATCCTTCTGTTTGCAACAGTTTCAACTTTCTTTTTATTCGTACAGAAAACTACAATACACATAAAAACTAATAATGATGATGATGCTCTACAGAAAGTTACCAACATTTCTGCTATTAAGGTACTTTAATATTCGATTTTGTTTTTGTATACGTATACATACACACTCTGTACTCAACCATATACTAATATTTAAGAACATTAAAAGTATTTTTTCAGTTTATATTTGGTTTGCTGTGACTGCTGTGTGAAATTCGCCGAACAGCAACATGGGTACTGTAGTTTTCACCGTTTAATAGGCTTAAACGTGATTGTTTCATAACTAAATCGAATTGATGTGAACTGATGGCTTCAACAAAAGACAAACGATTAAAAAACCCTGGAGATCACAGCTGTTACAAATTTCAACATGATGAGTTTCCGGTAACTTGATCTAACGTTACCGCGAATCAAAATGAACATAGTGCAGGCTTTGAATGAACAAAAACATTGGTTGCACATGTTGAAATACTAAGGTCTCATAAACGGAACGAGTTTGTATTTTGACTACGAGCAGGACAAAACGGAACCAGAAATTGAGCGATTCGTGGTTTTAAATAATTTTGACGTTACACATCTGCGTTGTTCTTTAATACAGTGCTTATGACACTTACAGACGATTTAAGTCTCTCATTCGAAGACACGAACGACAAAACTACAACACGTTACATTTCTAACAACATTTGCAAACATGAATTATACAGTCACGCTTCACCGCGATGTAAACAGCAAAATCCCACTGAACAAATCTTTCTGCCGAATCTACGGAACCCCGGAAGGGACGTAGGGGGAGAAAAAAAATGGGTGGGTGAAAAAAAAATAATGGGTGAAAGAAAAAAAAATGGGTGGGAGGAAAATATATATTTCTAAGTTTTTTGCGTTCTCTCGCAAAGTTTTGCGTTCACTCGCAAAGATGTTTTGCGTTCCCTCGCAAAGATGTTTTGCGTTCCCTCGCAAAGATGTTTTGCGTTATCTCGCAAAGATGTTTTGCGTTATCTCGCAAAGATGTTTTGCGTTCCCTCGCAAAGATGTTTTGCGTTATCTCGCAAAGATGTTTTGCGTTCCCTCGCAAAGTTGTTTTGCGTTCTCTCGCAAAACTGTTTCTCCACAAACACTTCCTGTTCACTGCACTCACGTAAACCCTCCCGTTTTTGCCGAAATTCTCCCGTATTTTACCATTCTACCCCACTTTCTTTACATTTCTGTGCGTATGCTACCTATGAACCAGTGAATGCATGTATAAGCGCTGACTGACAGACGCGCTTCGTACAATAAACTGATCCCAGATCAGCGTCTGTACACGCCATTTACAGAGGAGCGGGTTTATGTTTAAACAGACAAATACACTGAATAATATGAAGTTTTTAAAGTAATGGACTGCTTTCATTATAGATCTGTGCATTCTTACAGAGACACCTCTGTTATCAAACTAAACAAAACATGAGATTCATTTGCTGCGCACTTGTTTGATAACAGAAGTGTCCCTTTAAATGGCGCGTACAGACGCTGATCTGGGATCAGTTTATTGTACGAAGCGCGTCTGTCAGTCAGCGCTTAAACATGCATTCACTGGTTCAGAGGTTGCAAAGTGAAAGGCGACAATCAGCGCACAGTAATGTAAAGAAAGTGGGATAGAATGGTAAAATATGGGAGAATTTCAGCAAAAACGGGAGGGTTTACGTGAGTGCAGTGAACAGGAAGTGTTTGTGGAGAAACAGTTTTGCGAGGGAACGCAAAACATCTTTGCGAGATAACGCAAAACATCTTTGCGAGGGAACGCAAAACATCTTTGCGAGATAACGCAAAACATCTTTGCGAGATAACGCAAAACATCTTTGCGAGGGAACGCAAAACATCTTTGCGAGGGAACGCAAAACATCTTTGCGAGTGAACGCAAAACTTTGCGAGAGAACGCAAAAAACTTAGAAATATATATTTTCCTCCCACCCATTTTTTTTCTTTCACCCATTTTTTTTTTTCACCCACCCATTTTTTTTCTCCTCCACTACGTCCCTTCCGGGGTTCCGTACGAATCAATTCAAAAGATTCGATTCACTAATGGTTGTAATGTGAGCTCGCGGCCGTGCAGGAAAACGCGTGCGAACAACTGGTGAGCAATTATTCATGAGCAGCAGTAAAATGCAGACTGAAATAAGCACCAATAGATCGACATATGGAGTAAATACATCGTAATGTACGCGTTGTAGTGAAAACATGTGAATAACATTACCAATAAACAACTGCTCGGGTCCAGTTATTCCTTTGTTAGCACCGCCAGCAGCTCCTCGTCCAGAAAAGAAATGTGAATGAATGAACCACTCAACAAAACTCTGACCAAGAACGACCCTCAAAAGCGTCCCTTTCTGTTCAAATTACAATAACGCAAAAAGCTATCTCTGTATAAAATATAAACACAATAATCCTCCGTATCACACAACTCATGCGACACTATTTTCGAATCAAGATGGCATCACCTAAGTCATGAAGGAAATACGTCACGCGTGGGCGAACTCATTCTTACATGTACGGGGGTGGGGAGAATCGAAAACAATGAATGGTTATGACTGCAACACTGTGTGTTGTGCTATATGCATAAAATGTAATACTAGGAAATAATATTTATATGTACGCAACTAGAGCAAAATGGGCTGTGTGATTATTGTAACAGAATCACCTTTTTCATAAAATCAAAAGCGGCGGTCCCTGTAAACAAGTGGACTATTCTTAAAGAAGATACATAAATAGTACCCCTCGTGGTGGATATGAATATAACATCCTTGTTATTTACCTCTTCAGATATACAGTCACGGACTCAAGTGAAGTTACAGTTAGAAAATGTTTTTGTCTATATTTAGTCTTTGTCATAATTGTTGGTAAATATAAGCAAAAAACTCTCTTCAAATAACTGTATAATTTACCCCTTTGTTTATTTTAAACATTAACATAAACACATGGCGATCACATTATGAAATATTTGATAACTTACTACAAACCATTTTAATGTGGTCATGTCACTGGCCCACAAACATTTCCTGATTGTTATCAAAATATTTCATAACTGTAACATAAGGCAATTCAATGATAACTGAACATTATCTATCAATATCTCTTTTTCGGTTTTTGGAAGCTATAGAAATTAAAACATATTGGGAAATACATTGGGGACATTGTTTTAGTTTGCATCCTTCAAAATGGTCTATATGGGACCCTGGACCTCATAACCAGTCCCAAGTCATACATTTTTGGCAATTGAGATGTATGAAACCTGATAGGAGAATAAAGAAGATTTCCTTTGATATATGGTATGCTGAGAAAAGACAATACATATCATGATTAACAAAATATTATATATACACTACCTGACAAAAGTCTTGTCATTGATCCCAGTTGTAGGAGCAACAAATAATAACTTGAAGAAGCCTCTACAAAGTTCCTGAAAGCAAAGAAGGTCAATGTGCTCCAGGAATGGCCAGCCCAGTCACCAGAAACGAACATTATTGAGCATGTGTGGTGTAAGATGGAGGGGGCTTTGAAGTTGAATTCAAAGAATCTTGATGATCTCTGGGAGTCCTGCAAGAACGCTTTCTTTGCCATTCCAATTGACTTTATTAAGTTATTTGAGTCATTGCAGAGCTGTATGGATGCAGTCGTCCAAGGTCAAGGGAGTCATACACAATATTAATTCTGTTTCTACTGCACCATGACTTTATATTCTACACTGTACACTATTTCTGTTAAGTGACAAGACTTTAGTTTTTGTCAAAGTCAGACCTTACTGTCCTAATTAAATAACTAAAAATCAAGGCATGATCATATTTTATTTTGGTAAAATAAGCGTAATCTAGAGGCCTTTGCCTTTCATATAAGCCACTCCTGATACCAAATGATCAACTAGAAGTCAAGTTATTATTGTTCCTAATACGTGGATAGGAGACAAGACTTTTGTCAGGTAGTGTAAAATTGATTATAAAAAAATCATCTTTAACGTTATTTAAATGAAAGGAAGAGCTTAGTAATGTATACATGCAGACATTTACTTAATATTCTAATGATTTTAAACTTTTTTTAATTTCGGCTAGAATAAAAGCAGTTTTAATTTTTTAAGCACCATTTTATGGACAAAATTATTAGCCCCTTTAAGCTATATTTTTCCTCGATAGTTTACAGAACAAACCATCATTTTACAATAACTTGCCTAATTACCCTAACCTGCCCAGTTAACCTCATTAACCCAGTTAAGCCTTTATATGTCACTTAAGCTGTATAGAAGTGTCTTGAAAAATAAGTCAAATATTATTTACTGTCATCATGGCAAAGATAAAATAAATCAGTTATTAGAAATTAGTTTTTAAAACTATTATGGTAAGAAATGTGTTGAATTTTTTTTTTCTCTGTTAAACAGAAATTGGGAAAAAAAATAAACAGGGGGTCTAATAATTCAGGGGTGCTAATAATACACACACACACACACACACACACACACACACACACACACACACACACACACACACACACTTTTTTGGCTATTGACAAAACAAATTAACGATTTACATGTATCAATGTATCAATACAGGACAAATATTTTGTCAACCAGGGTCACATATAAACTGTACATGCTTCTCTTTTTTCATTAATATTACAATTAGAATATTCTTAACAATAGTCTTCTTTTGTAATGTTATTATTGTTTCGTTTTTTTCATATAAAATGCTCCACAAAAAAGCCAGCTGCAATGGTAATGCAGTCATCACAGCCTGTTTTCTTCAAATATATATTTTTTTATACGATCTCCATGCATGGCTACGCAATCTATAGTCAGCTCTCAAATTTTAACACATTTCAGAAGTTTTCTGAAGATTTATGCCAACACCTTGATATAATAATGGCATAATTTGTTCATAGCAAAGGAGTAATTTCAAATTCAACTTTATTTACTTGATATTGTGATTAAAAATATGATATACTTCAAAGTTCATCAGTATAATAAAACAGACATAAGGACAGGAAAGTGCTCTGTATATGATGAATAATCCTAATGTAGCTTAATAAATAAACAGGCCTAATTTTTTTTTGCCAAAGGCTATTCAAACTTTTTTTTTTCCATTTTATTTATATAAAAAGGTGCATACATTTTTTTTAAATGAATAAATTTGAGTGCATATCAGAGCAGTCACTATCAATTTTTTAGAGAATATGAAAAATAGATATTCCTGATGATAAAATACTGATGAAAAGAGCTGAAATGAAGGAAACGAGACACATTTTTGATCAATATCTTTATATATTACAAAACAATAGAAATGCTACTGATAACAATATATGTTCACAGTTGCTGTTATGATACCACACTGAAATAATGTATATAAGTTAGACATAAAATGGCATATCTTAATAATAAATAAAAAAAAAGAGAACATATTAATCTAACAAGTCACAATGCTTGACGGTTAAAGGTCGCATCATGATGAGCATTAAGAGCTGCTGTGTACAGTTTTGTATGGTTATGAGGCTGATGTGTGTGTTAATGTGCTGTCGCTGATCACCCTCACATGTCTGTAGACTTTATCGGCAGCAATAAAGTGATACTCAAAGAAAACATTATCAACACAATTATCAATAATCAGCTAGGCATCAAGTAGTAACACTGACAGTGTAGTGCAAAGAAGATGGTGTGTGTGTGTGTGTGTTTATCAGTGTGTGCGTGTGCATGTGTTTTTTGGAGAGCAGATTGTGGCGCTCAGCAGGATAACAAAAAGCAGCAAAAATAAATATCAAAAGAATTTATTTTTATCAGTTTATAAAAGCTCTTTTTTGTTGTTCTTTTTTTTTCATTTCACCAAGAGTCTGGGGAAAAAAAGGCCTCATGGAAAGTTCAAGGAACCACTTTGTTCCGTTTCATTTTCCGAAAACTTCACACCAAAGACTCCATGCTCTCAGCCTGGTTGGATTCATCCGCTTTTCCAGCGAATTTGTCCATGTAGTTGAAGCCAAATCTGAAGTCTTTACTGCTGACAAGGCTGAGCATTGCCTGGTAAAGGTAGTGGTAGTGCTCCTGGAAGCAAAACAGTGAAAAAGAAATAAATGATAGAGGAAAAGAGCATTTAAAAGGGTTCATGAACTCCCTTTTTAAATGTTGTATTGTTCTGCTTATGATGTTATTAAGATTTCTACATTAAAACGTCATTTAGTAGTCATAGGCTATTTTCTGTCCTGTTCGGAGGCACTCAGCTGAACACACTGTTTGAATAGGCTTGGAGTATAATAGACTTAGAAGTAAACATCTGCTGGAATAATTGGTGTACAGCTTTGCGTATATAAACATTTTTGAAAGTTTTAAAATTGTATATATATATTTATACAACAGTTCTGTCTGGATCTCGAATCTGATTGGCTGATAGCTGTAATATTTAAGTAATATCAGCATCCGTACAGCCTCTTTACCCTTTGTGTATTACTCCGCCCACATACAGCCAGCAACAAGCAGACACTATAGTTTGACAAATATTACTGCGGTTAGACAACAGAAGATACTTTTGAGGCTTTTTTTAGTCAAGAATGTGGTTGTTTAAATTGCAAACATGCAGTTTATTTGCAATAATAGTGCCTATTTTAAAATATTTACAATTTCTGAGAGCTCGTCGGTGGCCACAGACGGTTGTTGTTGTCTATCAACAAGATGGCGCCAGAACCGCATAATAAGCCCTTGCTCAGTGTGTTCTCTTGAGTGCGAAAAAAAAGCTGAAAAACGGAAGCATCGTGGTTTTTAAGATGGACCGGATAGAGTCAATAAGAAGCTGTAAATAAGAAGCTGGATTCAGACTTGTCCCTCCTTATCGCAAACACAACAGCAGTCTGGTTAGAAATCTCTGTAGACGGATGGCATTTCATGTCACGTTCGGCCTTATAATCTTATAAGCTTGTTTTGTCATAACCTAAAGGGACATTGGTAAATTAGTAACGGTTTACTAATTATGTTTTGACGTCAGCTGCAGATGTAAATAAATGGCGGAAGAAAGTAGTTCCTAATACAAAAGGGTTTTTATCTCATGATGACAGTACATAATGCTTTACTAAATATTTTATTAATTATGCTTGTATTCAGCTTAAAGTGCAAATTAATGGGCATCTCTTTTACCCCTTTTTCAAGATTTAAGATAAATATTTTGTCTTCAGAATGTGTCTGTAAAGTTTCAACTCAAAATACCCATCATATTATATATTATACCTTTCAATATGTGGAAAATCTGAGCTGTTAGGACATTGTAGCTGTTTTTGTTGCCTGTACCTTTAATGCAAATGAGCTAGTTCTGCCTGCCCACCTTTTCCACGTGCATGTCAGAGTCATAGAGATCTCTCTGTATTGCTCTGTTGCGTGTAGCCTTCACGTAGTACAGTGACAGACAAGAATAAAGCAGATCTCCCTTACTACAGTAAGAACTTTCCCAACGGTTTATTGATAAA